TAAATGGTTAGTATTTAGTTAGTGAATAAGCAGGCCTTTTTTCTCACAGTGCATGTTTAAACCAATGATGTTTTATTATTGCTTCAGCTTAAATGCGTTAATGCTAAAATGACGACCTAGCGAATCGTCGCGTCCCAGGGGATGTGTTGTGGCACCAACGTGGTTACGTAGGATCACCTGCTTTGGCTTGATACTCAAAGCAATGCTCTAAAAAGGCCTATCTCCCACGATCTGCATGATCCAGCTTGTACAATTCATGGCACACACCGTTCACACAGCACAGAGTTCATCGTGTACGAATGTGCGCTGCGCTGACCTACAGAATTTTGCGATAGAGTTTCAGGCAAAGGCACCCGTGTGTTTAGGCAGGGGGGGGGGGCGCAGTATTGAAAAAAGAAAAGGTGGGGTAATATGTGGCGACATTGCGCGCAAGCTAGTATACGAAAGCTTGCAGTAAACACAAGCATCGCACCAGTGTCAATACACATCAAAACTTAGCAAATGACATTTTCGAATATGCGTCCAGGTATCCGGGGCGACACGAGCAAAAACAAAGTGAAGGATGGGGAGACGATTGACGGATGGATGGGTTTATATGGCTGTAGACTTTAGATCGGGTGGTGGCTAACGCCACCAAGCCCTAATACTTAGTGAATCAAAAACTAGATTTATTGTTTCCTTTAAATAGTGTGGTTGAGGACTGGTACTTTGCAGTGAAGGGTTTAATTTTCAGTCGTGCCTTGACTTTAGCCACCAATCAGATAACCTCCTTCTAGTTAACTCTAGCCGCTTAAAGTCTATTTTGTTCTCCCCGTCCCTAAATCCCAGTTCTTTGAAAAACTCGGCGGCATCATCCTGAACTATAGGGTGAAGTCCTTTACAGAACATTATCAAGTGTTCGGCAGTTTCCTCCTCCTCTCCATGCGCACTGCATACCGTGTCTACCCCTTCATATTTGGTCCGATATGTCTTGGTTTGCAATACTCCCGTCCTCACCTCAACCAGTAAAGAACTACCCCGAGTATTGTCTTAGATCCTTTTCTTGGCAACTTCCTGCATAAAAGTTGGATAGATCTCTGGTTCGGACTTCATCATGGCAATTCTCCCCATATTGGCCTGAGCCTTCTTCACCTTTATCTTAACCGATAGTTCTTTTTTTTTGGTTTGGCCCCCTGCTGTTTTCCAAGTATTTACCCGTCAAGTAGGGTAGCATGCCGGATACTAGCATCTGGTTAACCTCCCTGCCTTCCTTTTTTCTCATTAGTCTCTCTCTACCCGTCAATTTTCTGGTTCGCTTCCTCCATTTTGTATCGACATTCTTCATGTACAAGTAGCTGAAAACCTTCCTAGCCCAACGCTCCTCTTCATTTCTCTCAATTGCTTCTCAAATTTTATCTTGCTGCTAGCTTCCCTGCCCTCAAATGATGTCCATCTCATATCGCCTTGTTCTCCCTGATTTGGTGTATTCCCGTGAGCTCCTAAGGCAAGACTACTCATTCCAGGTTGCTTAATTTCTAATCTTGCTCAAACTTCAGATATCATGCACAATACCGCATTTCCGAACGTCATACCAGGAGCCATGACCCCTTTGCATATTCCTCTCACAACATCATACCTATTGTAATTCCACAGTGCCCTGTTTTTCATCACTGCTGCATTCCGGTTACATTTAGTTGTCACGTATATTTCAGGTTCCCTTAAGTACTCGGTCCCATTGCTTATTCATACGCCCAGGTATTTCTATTTATCTGTTATCTCTAGCGTGACCTCCTGTATTATAAGCTCACTATACTTCATTATGATTAAAAATCATGACTGCTGATTTTTCCTTAGTGAATCTGAAATCTAACCTATCTGCCTCATTACCGCAGATGTTCATCAATCTCTTCAAACCTTCTTTGTTGTCGGCCACTAGCACTATATCATCTGTGTACATCAATGCTGGTAGTGCCTGTTGGATGGATGGATGGATGGATGGATATGGCTGTACCCTTTAGATCGGGCGGTGGCTAGCGCCACCAAGCCGTAATACTTAATGAACCAAAAACTAGATTTATTTTTTTCTTTAAAAAGTGAGTTTCAGGATTCGTACTTTGCAGTGAAGAGTTTAATTTTCACTCGTGTCTTGACTTTATCCACCAATCAGATAACCTCCTTCTAGTTAATTCTACCCGCTTAAAGTCTATTTTGCCTTCCCGGTCCCTAAACCCCAGTGCTTTGAAAAACTCTGCGCCATCATCCTGAACTATAGAGTGAAGCCCTTTACAGAACATTATCAAGTGTTCGGCAGTTTCTCCTTCCTCTCCACACGCACTGCATACTGTGTCTACTCCTTCGCATTTGGTCTGATATGTCTTGGTTCGCAGTACTCCCGTCCTGGCCTCAATTAGTAGAGAACTACCCCGAGTATTATCATAGATCCTCTCCTTGGCAATTTCCTGCTTAAATGTTCGATACATCTCTAGTGCGGACTTTTTAATCATGCCCATTCTCCACATGTCAGGGTTCGTTTCCTTCACTTTCTTCTTAACCGATAGTTCTTTTTGGTTTGGCCACCTGCTGTTTTCTGAGTATTTACCAGTCAATTTCCTGGTTGGCTCCTTCCACTTGGTATCCACATTCTTCATGTACAAGTAGCTGAAAACCTTGCTAGCCCAACGCTCCTCCCTTCTACATTTTTACACATTTTAAATACATTTTTACGCCATGTCTTGTTCACTCAAAGGACGCCAATTGGCGTATCGTCCAAACGCGGTACACGTTCTGTAGGAACGCAAGCGGTGTCCGTGTGCGCTGCAAGGAACACTCATCGGCGTCGGAGTGACGCACAGCCCGCAAGCTCGCACGAGTGAACAAGATATGGTGGAAGAGCCATGTTGCCAGACTGCATTTTCTAAAGGGTCTATTGATCAGCCAGAAGGCGCCCTCTCGAATCAGGAGTAGTGTGTCTCCACATATCACTTTTGTCATTGAAGTATCCACCTATTATGATCTCAGTGCCTTTGGCCTGATGCAATAGTTCCTGTCAACACATATCCATTCGGGACAGTGGCGCTACTATATTTACTTCGGTCTACTATCACAGTATCACAATGGTGATAGTAGACCGAAGAGATCACCAGTGAGTGCTGCCTGCCTTCCTGTGGCAGAGCAAGCTTCACTGTCACTATGTGCCTGTACTGCTTGCTTGCTCATGTGGTATCCATAAGCATTGCCTCTTTTCCCACCATATTGTTGACATTGACTGGAGCGAGGCAACGTACTTATGTCATTAATGATAGTCATATTAGAAGAAAATACATCATGTTCTTTTTAACATTGGCAAAATCGGATAACCGATACTGTAACTCCAATAAGCTTTGCTCTGACAGGACATTTGTACATCGTATTCTTCCCCAGCAGTTGGAAGCGCTGGTGTGACTTTCTGGTTTTAGACTTGACTTCCATGCAGACGGCCAGCCTTCGATTCCGACTTCAGCCACTGTGTTTCATATGTGCCTTCATTGAGTTATTTCACTTATCGACAACCTCACCGACGTGGGATCCACATTGTTTTTCACACCGGCTCCTTCACGCTGTCAGGCTAAGAACTTATGGATGGTTTCAGTGTGACACTATAGTTTTTGCCGAATGTTCCAGAGGGTCGGGGCTGCATGTAACCGAGTGTCATTTTTACCAACCAGCTTGTTTCATGCGATACGATTTTCTTTTGCCGATTTCTTATTCAGTCGCAACAGGCCCGTGCTGTCGTCTATATGAGAGATGGCATGACGTGCGTATGTTTCCAAATCCTTGTCATAGGTATGAGTTAGTGCCCTCAAGGTTGTTCAGTTTTCGTATCAAGACTAAAGGAAGATGTAGGCTTGGCATGATCAGAAATCTTTCAGCAGAAAATATCACTGGAGGTAATGTGTCGACAAGTGGACTGTCAATAGCCTAGCTCGACTGATAGTAACTTAAATGATTTATTGCCTTCCCAGATAACAGTGACAATGCGTAATAAAAAGTAGTAGCTTCATATTACGTTCATCAGTGTAGCCTTAAGATTTACCATACATTAACCATCACCCAGTATTTATGTGAAAAAAATCTATTTAGCAATTTCAAAATCCAACGATGCACAAATACGCCTTTCTTGTTTCCGCACTGTTCCTCTTTAATGTATGTGTGGACAAGTCAAAGTCACCACTCATCATTTTCTTTGCGAAGCGATCTATCACAAATAAAACTTTAAAGCGGTGCTCGTTTCCTAATTTTCTGAATAAACGCATCATCCATCTACATAAATAGGATTTCATTCAATACAAGAACATTTCTGTGAAAAGGCGGTACCACGGGGTTTCATAGTTGACTCTATAATTCGCAGAAATTCCCTTCTATGGTGCCTTCGCGCTGTTAGATGAACCTACAAGCAGGCAAGAATATTCTCCGATCGATTCCCATTCCTTCGTCGTATTTTGCTGTGTTTGTTCCCCTAAAGAAAACAATATTTTATAATTAGGTATAAAAGTCTAGTGACTAATTGATTTTGGTATAAGTATATTTCGTAACATCTGCTTCAATCAGGACCGCTAAGCGTTTAACCTGTCCTTGAATACTGAGCACTGCATTCGTACGACAACCTTAACAATTTTCTTATTTGTCGCAGACTTACGTTTGAGTATTTCTCAATAAATTTAATATCCCCCTGGCAGCTCTTCATCGTCCTGTGTGGCTTGTATGAATGTTAGCCATGACGTATCACCACATATCTTCACATTGCAGTTAGGGTATTTGAAGAAGACGTATGACGCAAATGAAAGCAATAGTTAGTATGACCCAATTTGTTTATGATTTTCATATACACTTGTGGCTTTGCGGATCAGAGCTGTCAGGGCAAATCTCATTTGTACAGGGGTGCAATTATAAGCCCGACAACCATGGGACGTCGCAACGCATTACACTTTGACAAATCAGTTTTGAGTCGAATGCGGTTTGACATATAACTATTTTTTTCATGCGTAAAAAACTCTTTATGTGGCTCTTAAAAGGCACAGTGAGAATGTTCAACTTCAGAACCTTAGCGGGACTCTAAAGCCGCACAGCTTTTTGGTCGCCTAGTTCAAAGGTAAGCCAATTTATATTCAACATTTTGTGTCTCTGTTAAGAATACACATTCTGGTACAATTCTCGCACGAACGCAATCTCTACTTACTACGCACTTCAAAAGAAATTTAGAAAAGCCACCGAGAACAATTTCGAAGATTGCCTGTACCAGTCCTTCGCGTACGTCTGCAGTGGGCGTGATTATGAAAACGTTCGAAGGGATCAACTGGTTCATGTTGATGAAAAGAGGCCTATACAGCTACGTGCCTTTTTTATAATATAACCAAACGCTACCATGTCTCTTGTTCCCCTATTTAAAAACAGGCGAAGCTTGCAGTAAGCCTCGAGAGGCTTGAAACAGCGAGATTTATTGATATTTTATGGGGAAGTATGTCATTTAGAGTAAGTTTCGTGTAATAAATGTTGTTTAAAGCCGCTGAGCGAGTGTCGTCTGAGAACACGGTCTGAAGAACGAACCTTTAAAAGTGTCAGATTTTTATAGCAACCCTACGCACAATATACAGATGTTTTTATGACCGAATGCACGAGTTCTTTATGCGATTAGCATTTTTTCATCGACTACTTGGACACCGAATATTTCATTTAAAAATACAACATCCATCAGGCATCATACGACTTCAGCCTACTTATTGTGAAAGTGCATTATTACCACTTATCCTATGTATTCTGTTATGGATATTATCAAAAAAATTCACAGGACCTGTGATCTACTTTGCCAATATAAAAAATTCAAAAGTAAGGTGACAAGAACACTGAAATATTGTATTTTGTGCTCAATCTCTCTATATCTCTCAAGCAAAAGGACAAAACACAGTGGGCTAGTGCTGCAGTCTAGCACACATGATTTTGAACGCATATGTACTTTTCAGAAGTGTAACTCGTTTTATCATTCCTCCTCGCAGTTGTGAGACATGGACGGCTTCCTTGCCAAGTACCTTGCTATAGGGCTTGCTAGTGCACTCGGTAAGTCTGAGCAATATTACCTAAATGAATTATTCGCTTTACTCACCTTTAGTAAGGTAAAGCTGTGTGAAAAAAAGGACAAGAGGCGCAAAGTACGGCCAAGACACCACATGCCCATCTGACTTGCTCATTGTTTCAGTCTGCCCTTGTTGCGAAATTTCATGTCACTCAAGTAATCAACTAACCAGCCTTCCAGGATCTCCTATTGAACCTTTACATAAGCAAGCTGATGCTTAAGCGTCATAGCGAGACCTCACATGCAGGTTTCTCGCACTGTGAAAAAATTTTCATGAATTTATGATAATTTCGGTGCATATAGATGCAAACAGCCCCCGCGTTAAGTCGCAAATCACCGATACACCAGTTAGATACCAATCGAGCCTTTGGCTACTCATTCGGACATGCAACGTTCACCTCATAGAGCATGGAGGCTTCACGCATTTAATTAAACGAAGCTCACAGTAGTATGCGCAAGTATTAGGCTTACATAAGAAACATGCATCAAATTCACTTTTTATTGAACATCTACTGACTGTCAAGTAACGCTAAAGTTCAGCCCACTTCGTACTACCATAGATGGCGACAGCCTTTCTTGGCACTGGAACGAAGGCTACGAAGCCGGGGTATCCGCACAATTTCATTACTCTACGCAAGTAGCCAGGCAGCTCACAGACAATTTCACTTCCAGTTTTGGATTTGCTTGTACGACGCGCTACCACATTTAGAAAAAAAAATGTTAAACGTGAACGTAAGTCTGACGTCCTGATCACTTTGCATATATGCCTATATTCAGTGTACATAGACAACCATTCAGAAAATTACATGCTTATAAGAAGGTTTTCACAGCATTTTCCTGTCGAGCTGCAAATACATTTTTTTTTCAAATTTATCTTGACACGATAAACATCCCCTATACTTATATGCTGAATCCAAAATTAACAGAACTTTGTTTTTCTTTTTTTTTTTTTGCAGTTGCGCTGATGGTTGCCCCCTACAGCGCTGAAGCATTTCCTCCGCCATTCGTAATAGAAGCTGCCGCAAAAGCACTTGAAAACCTTTTTGGAAGGAATGAGCAAAAGTCCGAGGAGTGAGGTCGACGCATAGCCATGTGGCCCTCCTGCAGAGCATGAATGCGCAAGTCTAATAAAATTCAATCAATTCAATGAAGCTGCCGACTGATGTAGACACAATAAATTGGAAACCTTGGAGACAAGTTAACTATACCACAGCATAATGTTGCCACTTTTTTTAACGCAACAGTATTTTAAGCTAGGGTGTACCACGGCTCCACTGACATATTATAAAAGTCACAAATTTTGATATGACCCCTAGAATTCACAAGAACGTTCCGTAGCTTGGAATCTGGAAGTGACGTAACACAGAGCCTATACATGTCGTTTGCTGGACGAATTCACCTCAGTGCTTTTTATTGAACAGGGTTTCAAAACCACAGGCACCGCAACATCAAGAGTACAAAAGATGATGGCGAATACATAGTTATATTTCGAGAAAAAGAATGAAATCTTTAAAGATTTGACATGTTCACGTTATATTTCATCGGCATTTCACTTGACTGCAGTTGTCACTACCTAAATGCACCCTGCAACACCTTATGGAAAGGGTCAGAAAATGGTGCCGGTATGTAGCTAAGGCCCCTGTGAACATGTGAGCCAAATATTATTTGTGTAGCTGGCTATCGACAACTTGGTCTCAAATAGGGCCACATACTGCTTGTTCTTCTTCTCAAAGCTACGCAGCTAATACGAGCTCCGATGGACGATCTCAAAAGTTGTGCACCACGTTGTAGGTACCACAGCCCCCCCCCCCCTCCCCCTCAAGGTAGTGCACATGCCAGAGCATTAGGCGCGCATCTGCATTGAAAATAGCAGCCAAATGGACTAACCAAAAGGAGACGAAATGCTCAGGCCAGTACGTAGAGAGACTTAGCTTTTCTGTGGAGCACAACTCCGTTGCCATTCACCCATAAATAACTACCAGCGTGCTGATGGTGAATATAAGAAAGACTGCGTTTCACTCTACACCTCCATGTAGGCTTGAAAGATTTTTGTTTAAGTTTGCAGCAGGGAATTCCTAAGACAGTTCAGTTCTTTGACGAAACGTTTCACGGGCATAATTGCATGTTGTTTGAAACATGCAACTCATCACACGGAATGTAGCCGTATGCGCAACCTTCACTGACACAAGTCAACGCTTAATATATTGATGAAATGGAAGTAATGCACAATTTAAGCTTAACGTGCAGATAGATATGTGGGGTTTGACGCCCCAAAACCACAATATGATTATGAGAGACGCCGTAGTGGAGGGCTCCGGAAATTTAGACCACCTGGGGTTCTTTAACGTGCGCCCAAATCTGAGCACACGGGCCTACAACATTTCCGCCTCCATCGGAAATGCAGCCGCCGCCGCCGGGATTCGATCCCGCGACCTGCGGGTCAGCAGCCGAGTAGCTCAGCCACTAGACCACCGCGGCGGGGCAACTTATCATGTAACATCCTGTGATTATCAAATAGTCTTCGTGGTTTGAAGCCGGCGACCGTTTACAAAAGGTCCGCACGTTAATACGAAAATTCTTTTAAGGCCACATAATAGACAAAACAGATGTGCAAACCTGAAGACGGATCGTCAGACGTTCGGTGATGCCTACACTACAAAAAGACAACGTCTGCGTGTGCCGAAAGGCATACTTCACCTGAGAGTACGAAGCGGCGAAGTTACATGCGTGCTGTCAAACATGTAACTAGGACGCCACTTTCTCATTCTATGCGCAGCGCGCGTTCCAGCGTGAGCTACACAAAAACAGAGATCCTTGACAAACTTATCTTTGACCGTTCATCTCACTCGGATTGAACTATATGAAGCTAAGCTTGTACTGGGCATACTGCGCCAATTAAATTCAATCTACAGCTTTGAGGAAAAAAAACTAAATCAACGTTTAACGTTCGTGCTGACTAGTTGGCTACAATGCTCCAAAATTACTTTGTGTCTGAGAACTCTATCTGTTCTACACAGGAAATATATTTAGTACAAATAATTACTCACGATTTCTTCTTTTATTTGCAAAAAAATTGGGACTTGCAAACAAATGAATAGGGAAAAGATTCTTAATCCTAAACCTTTCGCGCTCAAGTTCTTTTAATCATTGTTAATTGATGCATAACACTTACTTTTGTTCAATCTGGCTACAAGTTTGACAATAAAGTTAAATGGCATGGCACCTATTATTACTTACAGCCTGAGCTGTGGCTACTCTTCAAATGCACTCAGACAGCTCTTCCCCCCATCTTTGGCTACGCCACTATCAGTTGCTATATAATTCACCATCACAATCATCACTTAGCTACCTGCACAACTCTGGGTGAGCGAAATATTATTGACAATGCTGTATTACTCAATCGCTTCCATGATACTGAACAATACAGTGTCCTTCTATCTGCTCGAAGGTGCTTCACTTCGGCATACGAGCACCCATGCAGCTCTTCTATCAAGGCTCACACACGGGCTGATAAGTTTCACCTATCTTAGAACATCATATTCTTCGACAGCTTGACACGGCGCTGGCGAGAACATAATGCGACGTGTGCGCCTTTGTCAATGTATCCCACTATGTTTGGCACTGGGGAAATATTGTTTCACGCATTGCTTTCCAATATGATTGACAGAGTGAGGTTCGTAGCAGCATTTTCTGCTCCTGCATCCTACAATATCGCTCGACGTGTGAGATATCATGCGATGTTGGGCACAAATTTCGTCTGCAAACCTTCAGAGTTGCATATTCTGCTGGACAGTGTAATTGGGTGATATGGACTGGATGCCTTGTGCTTCATCTGTCTCCCAGTTATCTTACCCTTGTGGATGGATGAAATTGCGACAGTTGATTAAAAACAACATGAATAAATTTTTCGCTGTGGGATTCCCCAAAATGCGGGCACCATGAAAAATTATGCCAACTTCATCTTTCTGTCTGTTTCACGTTGCAATTTCGGCAGCCCCCTTGGCTGCCAAAAAAGCGCTGATGCGGGTTGCACAGGTGCTGTCATCACGGCTGCATGCTTTGTCGTCTAGGTCTTTGCATTGTCAAGTAGGGGATTGAGCTCTGGCTGTTATCCCAGCTGCTTGCGGTTATAGCTCGACGGTAATGAGTTTCGGGATTTCTCGTTTACGTCGTAGAGTTGAATCGTAGCTCTGAGTGAGCGCCCGGCACGTTGACCAGCGCTACCAACGCACATTCACAAGACTCTACAAACGCGCATCATGTCAATCAGACTTTAACGTGATTTCTTTCGCACGGTGCAGTGAACTGCTGCGTCATTAGACTAAAGAGGTCTGATTAAGACGACTCGGCAACGACGCAAGTTGCGCCTTCATTCTATAGAAAAGAAACGCTGACGATGCTGCCATAAAGAAGGCACTGTAGTTGTGGTTACGCTTTTTATCATTGGACTAGTATTATTGCGTAACGGTTTGTTGTCGGTGTGGAATGGCTTAGATGGGCATTGTTCCACAGCGGTGTTTTCCCGTCGCCCATTGCTTCGAGTGGATTGCACGAACAGAGAAGATTGCTTCAATAAGCCCCGCGGAAAGGCAATCATCTCGACCGACGAATGTCGCACTTAGGTGAGGGGAGAGATGTGCCATCAGGCACATAGCGTGACCAGGGTGACCCTCAGGGAAGAGGGAGAGGTTTCTAGCCATGCAATAACTATACCACTTAATCCTTCATTAACGCGCAGTGGCAGAAGTTCTTTGCTGGAACAGTGAACTCGCAAAGGCATTCTGTTGCATAACCATATAGACGTATACGCACAGAGAAATGAGGAACAGGGTAAGGGGTGCACTACCCTTAGTTACCCAAGAGGAGGGCACAAATTCAGCCCCATACTTTCACATAACAGGGAGAAAGGCCGCCACTCACGAGGTGGGCAGTCAGTCACGAAGTGAGCAGGGCTCCAGCTAAGAACTTCTGCCTTCCGCGTTGATGAAGAGTGAGGTGGTAGTTTATACATGAGCGCAGGCGTGTGTTATATACGCTTTGGAAGATTCCACATCGTGTACCAGTTTCCTTTGTGTGCTTGTTGATGCCATCATTACGCACTAAAAATGATATGCTCTCTCGAGGTTCACCATCTAGTGGCGTCTCCTACAACAAGATGTAAATCCCGGTCATTGGCGTTAGTCGTTGAGATATAGATATGTGCTGTGCCACCAGACGTCAACGTGCGTGCATCCACGTCAAATGGTGTCGCGACTATAAAACACCAAGAAATATTCTACAAACTTGCATATCCTAATACATGCCAAACATTAAACTACTTGTGTGAAAAAACATTTAACATTCACGTTACACTGGTTTCTATGACGAATGAATCAGTTTTTTTTTACTGTGCTGGCAATTATATGGACCCTCTTGGCGTATTTTTGTAGTCGCCCGTCACGTTCCATATATTTATGTGCCTAGAATGTGCACCCTTGCAGATTCTAGCCTAACTTCTAAATTATGCCGATACATTAAATGACGACTAGGTCAATTTATTTTATTTATTTTATTTATTTATACTTATACCTACAGCGCCCTCTGGGGGCGCTGTTGTATGGGGGTTGACAAATTCAAAGTACATTTAAATCAGTGGGGACAAGTTGAATTGCACGGCACACAAAAAATAAAAACAAATAAAGATACCTAAATCAATACCAATTGGAAGTTGCTAATTGTTGCCCAAGGTAAAATAACATTTTTATGTGTTCTGCTAATATGCTTACATTCACCGCTCTAATTCACTTACTTTAGAAGCAGCACAGCTGGGCAAAAAAATTCAAAGAGAAAGCTGTACATCGTGTTAATAACAGGCCCGCTGGCTGGATCGCCGCCATACCTATCAAATTTCGATGCAAAATGCAGGGAAAGAGCATGCGAGCTTGGCCGGTAGGTAGACGTGCCGCAATAGTCAGCGCTTTGAGCGATTTCGTTTGTCGAACCGAATGGTCCCTATTGTTCAGGGGCCTAAACTTGCTGCTGTGTACCACCCGGAATACGGTCAATTTTCTCGTGGCTCTTGTAGCACTATACGAGAGGTCACACTAGTGCATTAAATTCCCGGAGTTCAATTAGATGTGAGAAAAGCTACCGTCGTTGAGCCGTCTCCGAAAAAAAATCTTCGTACGCGGCATTTCTAGCACGGACTAATTTCTACCACTTGAAATT